CCCCCGCCGCTCTCGCTCGTCTCCTAGTCCGCCTTTTGTTTGCTTTGTGGTTGGGAGTTTTTTTTTTTTAAGGTAACTCCGGAAGGCTCTAGGCTCCCTGGGTGGAGGAGGCCGGGAGAAGACAGGCTCGTGGGGGAGGTGAACGGAGAGGGGGGTTGGGAGCGCTGGGTGCTGCTGGCCCGGTCACCTGACAACAGGTGTGCGGGATGGTGAGCCCCCCCACCTCCGCGCCTGCAGGGACCATAGATCACTCTAGGATCTTGTCAGCCTATTGCTTGGAAGGTTGTTTTCGACAAGATGTTAGGGAAAATATTCTCGAAAGTGAGATATATACAAATCATTGGAGACAAACCATGAATTCAACAATTAACAGTTACCGCGAAGTCCTGTTAAGATTTTAACGACCCCATAAACAGTAGAGAAGAATACACAATTGAGGGGCATTCCTGCTAGCTTCTCTTTTTCTTCCCACCTTTGTGGTTTGAGGTTTTACCATAAACGGGGGAGGGCTTTGTTCCAAAGCTTCCTGCTTCAGGGACTTGGAATTTTGAACAGCTTTAGGTTTGAGTGGAAGACTCCAGCTGTAAATTAGGTGGAATTCACCTACTGCAGGCCAGGCCACTCTTTGGGTAATAATCTGCTGTCCAGTATTCTGAAATGGACACCTGCTTGAAACTGGAATTAGTACTTCTTGTATACAACTAAGTGTACACAACTAAGTTAGGCAGCAGAGTCTTGATCTTGTAAGAGAGGTTGTCTCCTAAGTACACACATGCTTTAAACCACCTTTTTTTTTCAAGCCTTCCCTCCCCACCCCCAACATACTCTCAAGACTTTAAATTCTTTCCCCCTGTAGTTTCAGGAGAGTGGGAAATCTCTCCAGGCTGTTCCTTACATCTGTTACCACTGTTGATGCTGACCCCAGCATAAAGTGCATAGGAGACAGGAAAGGGGCTAAAGTAAATGAAAATAGTTGGGGGCAATGCCCTTAATGTGAGAGAGGGATGGCTCACACTTTATACTTTGAGTTGTCTAGAACATCCCAGGTGATACTCTAATCCATACTCAAGTCGCGGGCATGGTCTGTACCAAATGGGTTAGAGATACCTCACAACCTCCCATTTCTTCTGTTCCTGGAGACAGCAGAACTCTCAGTCCTTTCTCCTAGGGAGGCTGTTAAGTCCATATATCTGGGTCCTTCCTGTCATGCCTCAGACCTAAAGCTACCCCAAGTCATTTAAAGGAGATGTCTTCAAATTTGACACAAGTTGAAATCTGCAAGCTGACAAATCCCAGTGTGAATCTGCATGTGGTGGTCATCAGCACAGTGGTCCACGCATTTGGGTTTCCTTTTGGGTTTGTGTTGGGTTTTTCACAGCCCCGTTTTTGGCAGAGGGTCTGGGAAGGAGCGGGGTGAATGGAGCCCATAGCCAGCCTCAGGGTTCTCCCCATGTTCTGTAGATTTAGAAGTATCTTATATGCTTCACCTGGGCTCTCAAGTGGATTAACTCTTCATTCCAGAGTTGTGTAGCTTGTTTGCTTGGATTAAGCCTGCCAGACAGGTACCTTGCAACCTATCAGTAAATATTTCCTGATAATTCACTCTGGTGAGGCACTGGGAACACAACCATGATTAAGATATGCCTGGGCCTTGTCTTCAGGAACCTGACATGAGGAGGGACAATAGGCAGTGGCTTTTGTGGGTTCAGCAGGAGGCCACAGGAGCTCCCATAGTAGTCCCAGGATAGTAACAGCCAAAGTGGTTTCTTGCCAGACACAGGGAGGCCAAGTAGGAGTTGGCTAGCAAAGGAGGGCAGATGGGGGGGGAAGCATTTGGAACCTGGGAACTTCGTATAAGGAGGAGAATGAGAATAGAGGGTCGGTTGGGGAACTGCCAGCGACTCATGATGGCTGGATCCTCAGAAGGAGTCAGGTGAAGATAGAGCACCAAATGGGATCCAGATTAGAACTACTCTGAGGGACTTAGACCTCACCCTGAGAGCGATAAGCCATTAAAGGCTTTGAACAGAGAGAGATGTGGTCAGGTGTTACTTATTCTTATCAGGAACTCTTCCTAGTCAACAAATACTGAGTGTCAAGCTCAGTAGGGTCCAGCCCTACTGAGGCGCACCTGTTAATTTTTCCTCCATTGCCTTCCCCTAGAGTGCTTATCTTAGGGTTTAGTTATCTTTTCCTTTAAAAGGAAGAGTCAGATTTCTTTGAGAAGCAGACACACAGTCCATTTCTATTCTAATATAGTGCAATTTAGGGGAATTCCATCAAATGAGCTGGCAGAGGTGAAATTTTAATCCCAGACTAGCTTCCTGAAAACTGTTTACTGTTTGTGGTAAATAACACTTGTGTTATTTACACTTATTTACACTTTTGTTTTATCTCATCCTGAACACATGGGCTAGATAGAGTTGTCTGCTGGAACAAAATGTCCAGTTTAGGGCTGACTGGCTGTTTCATTTTTCCTTCTCTCCCTGTTTGCAACCCCTTGTTTAACTGAGGATAAGCTGTAGGCTATCATCCAGCTCACTTTGTGATGTAGTGTTTTATGAATGGAGAGATGTTTTCCTGATTGGCTGGAGCATAAGAGCAGGTCTGGTTCTGAGCCAATCAGAGTGCATCTTGTGAACCCCATCTCTGTGAGAGTTGTGTAGTATAGCCACGTGCCTCCGGGGACATGAAGCAGTGACATCGTTAATCATTTGTGTCATAGGAGTAAATGGAAGGAAATGCTATAAACAGCATTAGTGTCCAGTGCTTCAGAATTAAGTGTCACCAGTTTGCTTACATGGTTGAAGTTGGTGGGAAAGTGACAAGTACATGTGGATGTGACGACACATGGGCATTTATCCAGTTGCAGGGAATTGATGGGACAGTTTCTCCTTGGCATTATTGCACTGAGTGCTGTTAGGTTACCACATCCACAGCTGATAGGGCTGTCTGGCCAGCAGCTAGCTCCCCAGCAGTTCACATCAGATGTTGATGAGGACTGAGAAGCACACATTCACTGAGATAGACTATTCTAGTGGATTTCTGAGTGGCTAAGGGTTTTCTATGCTGTGGCTTTAACAGAAATCAGCTTCATACAGATGTGAGGAAGGTATTTTCCTTTGTTCTGTTACTACCCAGTTTTGCAGCGAGAGGATAGCGCCTATAACATTGTCAGGGAGTCCTCAGGCCTCTGTGTGGTTCACCCTCAGTTGTCAGGCAATTGGGGTGTTCCCAGCTACAGAGGCTCCCTGAATTTTGAGGCTCTGGGCTTCCACAGGGATTAGACCAGATAGGTGTATGTGGTTGAGCCTAGAAACTACTCCCCTGCCTGCTACCCTGCTTGTTCCATCTTAGCCCTGTGACCTTCGGAAATTCTGTTCTCCTGTTTTTCAAGAAAATCTCATTTACTATATTGCCAGTGAATAAGTCATGGGCAGCTAGCATTTGCACACTGACTAGGTACCAGGCAGGGTGATCTGTTCCTGGAAACAGCAGTGGGCCTAGCTGACTGGTCTAGCCCATTAATAGTCAAGGGGGACTAGTGATGATACACTGTAGCAGTGCCAGGAATGATCTGATTGGTTTTAGAAAGTTGATACCAATTGGAAATAGTTGCAGTTACATTTGCAGAGCCTTTTACTTAAGTCTAAGAAACCAACAGAATGCATTAAAGAGTGGGGTCGGACTATGGGACAGTACAAGGGGCTTTTAGCTACACTCGGGTCCCAGCAGGCATGTCCACTGGGAACAATTCAGTCTGGTTGAATGCTGGTTCCTGGTGTTCAGGAGTGATGAGC